CATTTAAGAAAAATGTAAACTACAAAGCTGCAATTTCATCCAGAGGGAATTTGTGATAAATAATGCAACCACAAAGGAGAAAAAAGAAACAATACAGCAAATATTCTGGGGACAAAATCACCCTTAAACACAAAAAACAAAACAAAACACAACTACTCTTCCATTCAAAAGTACTACCTGCATAGGTATACATCAAGCTAGCATGGAAAGTGTTAAGATGGAAAGACATGGGCCTGCATCTGGAAGTGCATGTGGAAGTAGAGCAGTGGATGGGACTCAATGGCTTTATAGCCCCCCTCCAACTCCTGTTCTGTTCCACTACTTTTATTCTTTATTATTATAACATATGAACCAAAGCTGCTCCAGAGAGATCTGATAACCATTCCCATGATACAGTCCCCCTATGTAGCTTGTGGGAAACTTCAAAGGATTCCATTTTTAATGTGGATAGACAAGTTTTGATTAATATCGTGATTGTTGTTTGCTGGCTATATGTTACCTTGTTTACTAGAAGTGGCATCCTTCCATCTATCAGTTGCTGAGGCACCAGGGGCAGTTGCTTGCACCCATCTTGCTTGTGGGATCCTGTGGACAACTGGTTTTCCACTGTATGTATGGAGTGCTGGATTAGATGGACCATTGGTCTGATCCAGCATTGCTTTTCCTATGTTCTAATGCAAGATCCAAGGTGGCTTTCAGAATTCTTCATTTTATTCTCAGAAGAAGCCTGTGAGGTAAGCTAGGCTGAGCCTAAGTGACTGGCCCAATTCATCCTGTGAGCTTCATAGCTGAATGGGGACTAGATCTCTCAAGTCCTAATCCAATGCTAACTACTGTGCCATACTTCTTCATATGTTCTTTCTGATATTTGGCTTATAACTCCCATCATTCCTTAATAACGGCTATGCTGATTCATGCTGATGAAAGCTGTAAGCCAAACTACCAGGAAGGCTACAAATTGTCCCTGGCCTGAGGCATGTAATCTTACTTACCTTGTATAGTACAGAGGTGGTATGATGCACTTAAAGTGGCTCTGACTGTACTTAGTAATAAAGACCTAGCTTGTGTCTGACAAGATGTCCTGTTGAGTTAAATTGTTGTTATTACTTCAGTTTTGCTGTTACAGTAGGAGCATTTGCTGTTCTTCCCTGCCTGCTCATGGGACAGCTTTTCATTATACTATCTAGCAGGGGTGGCTAAACTGAGGCTTGGGAGCAGCATGTGGCTCTTTTGAGTTTATTTTGCGACTCGCTGCTTACCACTGAAGGCACCCATGGGCACCCTGCAGGCCCAATTCAAGGTGTTGGTAATGACCTATAAAGCCCTAAACGGCTTGAGTCCTGGTTACCTGAAGGAGCGCTTACATCCATATATGCCCAGCCGCCCCTTGAGATCAGCGGGAGAGGCCCTTCTCTGGGAACCCTCCGTGAAAGAAATTAGGAGAGTGGGTACTCAGAGGAGGGCTTTCTCAGCGGTGGTGTCTAAGTTATGGAATGCGCTCCCCAGAGAGGTCCGCCTGGCACCATCGTTATTGGCTTTTTGGCACCAGGCGAAGACCTTTTTATTCAAGCGGCATTTTAACTGTTAGTATTATTTGATCTTATCTGGCCAGGACGGCTTATTTTATATTGTATTTTTTGGATTTTTAATGTTTATATTTATTGTAATTTATATTATAATTTTATTTATTGTTGTAAGCCGCCCTGAGGCTTCGGCGAATGGGGCGGCATAAAAATGTTTTAATAAATAAATAAATCTGCCTGCAGGTACCCACTTGTAGCTCTGAAACATCTGACATATACTCTATGTGGCTCTTCTATTGAGCAAGTCTGGCCACCCAAGCTGCATAGGCTGAAGGATTTCCTCACCCCCATCGCAGTCTGCTTGGAATTCCAAAGGAAATGAGAAATCTCTTTCAAAATAGGGCAAAATGCTGTCCAGTAGGAAAGCCATTCTATACTTTAAAAAAAGTATTGGGCAATATTTTCAGATCTTGTTTATCCATAAATGAAACTGAATCGGTTTGCAGCCTCTATTTGTTTTTCACTGTCCTTGTTGCTAAGTGTGGCTTACTTTATATGTTCATTAGTGCAAATTGTTGCCCTTATACATTCTCCTGCTAACAGAAATCTACTTAAACTTACACATTTGCACAGAAAAGGAGGTTTATTTTCAAGATGCTTTAGCAATGAGTAAAACCTTGGTGGAATCTCTGCTGTATTAGAGCTTTGTCTAATGCAATATGTCAAAGTCCATGTTCTGTAAAACTTTAAGTAAGCCACTCCTTGTAGTAGAGAGATTTAACTTCATGAAGCCAAATGTAATTTGGCTGAGTACTCATTCTGTGTGAGCTAGCCTTGAATTATGTAACCATTTTATAATATGGTGCAATTCAGTCTTCTGAACAGACACAGTACTTTAGTGTTTAATGTTCATGCAACGTAAGCTAGTTTGTGCTGTGTGTAAGTGTATCATTGCAGCTGTAGCAGCTGAATGTTGCATAATGTTTGAAAGGAAGTTTTAATCACGTGTTTTTTGGAATTTGGGGGAGCTAGACTTATTCTGAGATTTTGCATTGGTGGTAATATTGGTGGGGAGGAAAGGAGGATAGAATAGGCATTTGGTGACTATAGTACTGGATACAAAAATAAGGCCTGATACTAGATTACTGCACAGAAAGTGATCATTTCAGCATATCAGCTGCCTAAACCTTTAACTGCCATTTCCATTGCATAATATTTAAGGTTAATTTTTCAAGGAAGCCTTTGGACAATATTTGCTAGGACAAAAGGAAACTGGGGAAAGTGCCATGGCTCAGTGGGACAGCATGTGTTTTATATACAAAAAGTTCCATGCTGGTCACTATTATCTACAGTTAAGGGTCATTTGGGCTTGATGCTATTTAGATGGAGGGGTCTGGGACTGGATCTCTGTCCCCTTCCAGAGTCCGTCCAGCAGGAGCCAGGCAGGGTGGTAGAAATGATGAGGGTGTTTTGGCTCCCATTCTTCCTTCTTTGCCGACTTGAGCAAGGTGGGCCACTTAGCTCAGGTACCATAAAACAGCTCTCTAAAAGGTTATTGGGGCCTGGGCTACATCTTTGGAACCCAATGATCTATCCTCAGAGTAGAAAATAATGAACAGACAAGAAGTCTGATACAATAGGAGGCAAGTATTTTCAGGCTTGGAATTTGGGGGAGCTAGACTTAATTCTGAGGTTTTGCATTGGTAGCCCAGAAATAGAGACTTTATAGTGGCTTGTTTGTTTGTTTGTTTGTTTGTTGGAATCAGCTTGTTTACAAGAAGGCTTTCAAGGCTGCAAAGCAGCCACAAAGGACTTCTGGGTTTTTACATGCTTCCCTGAAATTAGCCAGAAGAGCATTTAATCGGACAGAGGACATGATCCAGTTGGAATTTTACTGGAATTACAGAATGTGTTGTTTTCTAATCAGGATGTTTCTGACAGTGCTGACTGCTTATACAGGTTAAAGGATCATCATGGTGCCAAGTACCAATGAGTATTGATAACTTTGCTATTAGTTAATGTGGAAACCAGATCAGTTAATATGCAGGACATGTCCGCTTGGTTTTATGTAAACCGGTTTTACTGTCTCCAGAACATTTGGCCTGCTCTTAATCACTGTTTACTTTGGATTTAGGATCTTTCTGTAATGAAGTATTTTAAATACTGACATCTAGATTAATCAGATTCAGACCTTTATATGGTAATTAAAATGATACAGTGTGTACATAAGAGTTTATCTAGAGAGGATTTGAGCTGTGATTACAACTACTCACTGGCAAGCGTTTGATACACAACTAAAATCAACATGTAAGCTGTGTGATGTGCTTGAAGCAGCACTCCAGGTGACCAATTACAGTGAATTCAGTTTGTACCTGTATAAATCTAAAAAAAACCCTATAAACAATTTTTATAATGTAAAACTTTTTTGCATAAAGCATTTACTTTAGTCACAAATAAGAGTTTGTTCAATACCACTTATGAACTAAGTCAGAACTATAAGGATTTTTGAAAATATTTAAATTTACAAATGAGATATGCTATTATTGGTCATTTGTTTTATTTTTGCGTTGAACAAAAATTTTTGCGTTGAACTAAAATTAATATTGAACTAAAATTATCTTTCTCTGCTAACAGAGTATAGACATTTACAGTCTGCAGATGATGTGGATAGTGTATTGACCCCGATGCATTGTACTGAAAGTGGCTTTGATCCTGGCTTAGTTCTGTGCTCTCTCACTCTTTTTCTGTTGGCTTCTTCTGCTCTGGAAGAGTTGACATAATCAAAGATCCAGACACAGGGCCTGTTTGTAAGATGAAACAAACTAGCCTGGCTTGTTTAAATCTCCAGTGCATGCTGGGTGCCGTTAGCTTAACTACTGCATGGATGCAGCTTGTGTTGCCTAGGCCCAGGTGGCATAGCTTGTTTTAAGAGGAAACAACCCTCAGAAAATGACAAGCCGTTGGGTTATTTGAGGGTTGTTTCTTTCTTAGACAAGCCATGTTGCCTGAGTTCAGACAACATGCCAAGCTACACCCAGGTGGGTAGTTCATCTAATGGGGCCACAGTTAACAGGGAGCCGCTCCTGGGACATTTTTTCATGTAGGACAGGGTAGAAATATTTTAATTTTTTATATATATGTTTTGAAGTACATGTAAAAACATACTAGGGTTCCGAAGAACTCCTTGCCTTAAGGGATATGATCCTTAATCTTACCTGACTTACTTCCATTCATCTCTGTTCCTCAACAACACCTTCTATGACATTCCTAAAATTCACTGAAACCTCAGGAGCTAGCTTCTCAGTAGATTGCAGTGGGAAAGCCCAGTTCTACTAGTGAACATTGGATTCCTTTGAATCCAGTACAGTGTGTGAATTGGATCAGTATGATGGTTCATGTATAGTATTCATGACCTCCAAATGTAGGAAATGAATAAGATACAGAAGTGTTTCATATTACTTCTTTGATTTCTCCTAGGTCCCATCAGCAGCATCCTGGTGAACAAATATGGTAGTCGGCCAGTTATGATTGCAGGAGGCTGCCTATCAGGATGTGGTTTGATTGCAGCCTCTTTCTGCAATACTGTGGAAGAGCTTTACTTTTGTGTTGGGGTTGTGGGAGGTAAGTAACCCCACTATTGATTATCTTGTTAGTTAATCCTCATAAGGAATGATATTGGATCTGATTATGATACGAGGAATCTAGTGCAGCCTGTGGAAAAATATATGCAGGTATTAGTGCATGTAATTGCATAGATTTTTAGAAAACAGAAGTCTCTGTTTAAGGGGAGACAGTTAGGGGAAGTGATAAGTTCCTATGTGCTATGTTCACTTTCCAGAATAGCTAGTATCTTTACCTTGGGAGATCAAATTCTCCTTCCTCCTCATATCTCTCTGTTTTGGTTGGAGGAAGGCGGATTATTTTTGTCTATGACTGTGATGTTATCACAACCTTCCCAAGAAAATATCACAACTCTCCCCCTACACTACCTGGTTCAGCCAAACAATTTGGAGGAGCCTTGTGTACTTAAAATATTGCTTGTTCTCTCATGAAACCAGATTTTCTTTAGAAGCTGTTCTCCAGATACCTCTGAAGTGGTATGGGGAACTTTTTTATGGTAACAGTCCATTTTTGCAATGTCTTACTTAGTGTCAATTTTGTTGTCTTTTGCATATCAGATGAAGAACTTAGTTGTTCAACTGTTTAATTTACTACTGAATTTTTTAAAAAATCCTCTGGCTCTGTCTTTATATGGTTTTAATAATTACCTTATCTTTGATGTTTGGCTGTTGACCACTGCTTAAATTGTTTTAAATAGTTACCTGTCTGGGAATCTATGTAAGATCTAAGGGAGGAATATAAATGAATTTACATTAAAGAAGCAAGACCTTCCTTAATTTAAATCGATGTGTGGTCACTTAGAGGTCTCTGTGTCCTAAAGATTCACATCTGCAATGCTGAGCTGGCTGTATACAAATAAGCACGACTTCTTTTACCTTGAAGCCTTTGCAACTATTGATTTCATAAATGTCTCCATGTCGGAGCAGCTGAATTAAAAAATTCTGACTCAGCCTCCTAGTGTCTCATGTCAGCAGTTAGAATGTGTATTGTACTACAGACCAACTTTCTTCAACCTGGTGCCCTGTAAATATTTGGTCTTTTGCTCCCATCAGTTCCAGCTAGCATGATTAATGGTCAGGAATAGTGGGAGTTATAACCCAAAAGATCTGAAAAGCTGCTATAATCTCAGGAAGAACATAACCCAGTCCCTCTTTCTCAGCCTACTTTTGTATTAATATGTTCTCTAAAACAAGATTTGCAAAGTGGTAGTTCTCTTGCCTTTAATTTAATTTTGTTTGCTACTGTTTCCAGGTCTTGGACTTGCTTTTAATTTAAATCCAGCCTTGACCATGATTGGCAAATATTTCTACAAGAAGCGTCCATTGGCTAATGGACTGGCCATGGCAGGAAGCCCTGTGTTCTTGTCTACCCTGGCTCCCCTGAACCAATATTTCTACAGCATCTTTGGATGGAGAGGGAGCTTTTTAATCCTTGGTGGCCTCTTGTTGAACTGTTGTGTCGCTGGGTCTTTGATGAGGCCAATAGGTCCAAAGCCAGACCAGCAGAAGAAAGATGTTAATAAGGAAGCATTGCAGGAGGCTGGCAAAGTGAGAAAAGAAGAAGGAGCAGGAGATGTCAGCGCAGACCTTATTGCTGGGAAGACTAAGAAGCAGAAAACAACAGCCTTCCAGACTATTAACAGATTTTTGGATTTGTCTCTTTTCACACATCGAGGCTTCTTATTGTACCTGTTTGGCAACGTGGTCATGTTTTTTGGACTGTTTACTCCTTTAGTCTTTCTTAGTAATTATGGAAAGAGTATGAATTTCTCTAAAGAAGCTTCTGCCTTCTTGCTATCTATCTTGGCCTTTGTAGATATGGTTGCTAGGCCATCTATGGGCTTGGTTGCAAACACCAAGTGGGTGAGACCCAGGATTCAGTATTTCTTTGCTGTGTCTGTGGTCTATAACGGTTTGTGCCACCTTATGGCCCCTTTATCCACGACCTATGCTGGCTTTTGTATTTATGCTGGCTTCTTTGGATTTGCATTTGGCTGGCTCAGCTCTGTCTTATTTGAAACACTGATGGATTTAGTTGGGGCTCAACGGTTCTCCAGTGCTGTCGGCTTGGTGACTATTGTGGAATGTTGCCCTGTGCTTCTGGGACCACCTCTCCTAGGTAAAGCATTTTCTTTATTAGACTTGGGAGGTAGCACTATGTGGGACTTTGTCTGCAGATATGAATGAGGAAGGGACCCTAATTGCACTGCTGTGGTCAGCATAAACAAGAGAATAGATTTATCAATTATCTGACCAAAAAAGTGCTCAAAGCAGCTAGTAACAAAGCAGCTAAAAATATGAATGTATTTGCCTAACACTGGATACACAACACCTAGCCTTTCTCAGCAAGAAGTTCCAAAGCCTGGAAGTGGCCACCAAGAAGGCCTTCTCGCAAGTTCCTGCAAAATTCACTTCTGATGATGGCAGTTCCAAGAGAAGGACTTTCCCCAAAGATCATTAAACCCAGGCAGGCTTGTATAGGACAAGACAAGCTGTACATAGTTTATAACTAATAACCAGCACTTTGAATTGTACCCAGAAACAGTCTGTTAGCTATAGTGAAACTGTTGTAAAAAAGGGAGTAATGTACTTTCTGTCAGCCATTTGGCCACTTTGTTCTGGATCAAAGTTTCCAAAAAGTTTTCAAAGGTTGTTCCAAGTAAAGCATGTCATAGTAGTCCAGGTGGAATATTACTACGATATGCCTGACTGTGGCCAGATTAGCCATCTCTAGGAGTGGACACAGTTGGCACATTGGCCTCAGCTGTGCAGATGTATTCTTGGCTACTGCTGAAACTTGGCAGGGCATTCAGGCTCAGGACTGATTCCAGAATTATAACCAAACTGATGTCTTGTGTCTTCAGAGGTAGTGTGATCTTAATCCAGCACAGGTTGAATTCACATTACTTACTCTCCTTTTCAGTAAAAGGGAGACAAAATAGTTGGCCTAATCCTCAGCATTAAGGTTAAGACTTCCATTCTAGTGAAAAACTGCTTTGGAGGACAGTCTTGTAATGTTAGTTTGTTTATTTTTTCCTTGTAGGTAAACTGAATGACCAGTATGGTGACTACAAATATACTTACTGGGCATGTGGCATCATCTTGATTGTCTCTGGAATCTTCCTTTTTATTGGGATGGGGATCAATTACCGGCTGTTGGCAAAGGAGCAGAAGGCTGAGGAAAAGCAGAAGGCTGAAGGGAAAGAGGAAGAAACCAACATTGATGATGCTGAAAAACAGAAGGATCCAAGCAATGATGTGGCTAATCTGTCTCAGAAAACTTCAGAAGATGGTGTAAAAGAGGAAGATAGCCACATGTGAGGGACTAGTACTTGAAATCCAGGAGGTTATGATGAATAGTTATCAACATGGGTGAAGGAAACACTGTTGGTAGTAAACAGTGATGAGAAGCATAAATCAGGTGATTTTTTTTTTCTAAGTAAAGCTGCAAATTGTGTTTTTATCAGTGTTTGACAGGAGTAACAGAGCTCAGTGGGCAGTGCTATCTTTTTATTGGGGGTTGGTGGGGAGGGAGGGAATTTTTTGTACTCTGGCTTTTTTAAAACAGTAATGTGAATGTACTAATATGTGCCTTAGAGATTCCACATTTAGGCTATTTTGGCAAAGCCTTAACTCCATTCTACAAACTATTCTTATTTTAGGTTTGTAGTCTTCCTAGGCTGTAACTGAAGGATGTCTGACTTCTTTTACTGAATAGATGTCAAAGCTTAAGTGTTAATGAACACTATTTCACTTGCTTCTAAAATCTGTTAGTGGCAGACTTGTGGTAGAAACAATTACTTTGGACCACAGGTAAAGAAAAAATTGGTTGATCATTAATAGTTTGGGATGGTTTGGGGTGCCAGATTCTAACTGGATTGATTGTGTTTGGTACAGCTTTTGAAAACTTCTAACTGTTGCAAGGTTTGTTTGTTTGTTTGTTTGTTTGTTTAAATCCCTTCATGGTTAAATTTAATATTGGTCTCAATATTGAATAAAGTATGCCACCTATTATGAAGTCCAGCCTACATTTTAATCATTTTTCTGATTGTCATCTGCCTAATTTTTGAGATATTTTGAACTGATACCCAAATCAATGCAAGAGTGAGCTTGACTACATAGTGTGTATCTTTATTATAATAATTGAAAAGCTCTAAATGTATACTTTTTCATTATCTGCTTGAATCATTCTGTACCTGAACTTAACATTGGAAGAACAAAGATTAAGAATGTCACTATAAGCATGCTAGTTTGCAAACAAGTCTGAACACATCTCAGATCAGAGTCATGGTCTCTTTTCATTGCCTCTTAACCAACCCCAGTGCTTCCAAAGGGATGCATTTTCATTTTTACTTTCCTCTAAATAAAAATTGCTCTGTCTAGGGAAAACAAAATGTAGTGACTTTCTTTGAAGACAGTACTATTCAGAGAACATGGTCTTATTGCTAGTTATACTGCCAGAGCAATTACTACTTCTAACTTCTGCTTAGATGGATTTGTTAAAGAGCAGCATATGTATGCTAAACTCAGTCACAGATAAAATACATTACTTGTTCTCAGTTCCTCATGCTTTTCATTTTGGCCCTCATTCTTAATGTGCTAAGGAATGAAACAATATTTAGGTGCTTGGCTATAAGACACTTTACCTGGTAAAAGATAGGAGAATCCTTTGTATGTATTTATTGTTTGTTTGTTTGTTAGTATTGGTGAGAATCCCACTTTGCATGGGAGATTAAGCAGAGATCGGTTCTGGTCACAGGCCAATTATACTGAAGCTTAATATTTTTGTAAGACATTGAGTTTTTCAAATAAGCTTGTTCTATAATGCATCCACCTAATGCTTCCCCCCGCCACTCTTACCTCTCTGGCATTTAATGTTTCATAGCCAGATACTAAAGTGCATGAGTACACTGGCATGTACCGCATGAGTCTTGTGAAGAAATACAATGATCTCTTTAGCATACACAGTTATGTTCCATGAAGACATGACATCACAAGTCCCTTAATCCTATGAAGGCTGTAAGAGAATAATTGACCAAAAACAAAACAAAACAAAACATTCCACCTTGGAATGTAGCTGATGCTCATTTGTGTGAATGGTATGTGTTCATGTAACTGCTGTAGTACCTTGCTTGCATACTTTAGTAAGGCAAACTGTTTAAAATTCACACTCTTAGGCCTAAAAAGGTTGTTACAGAGGATGTGTAGCTACTGCTGAATGCTGAAGCTTAATGTCTCCTACCTTAATAACGTCTAGTGATACGATGGTCTGGGAACACATAATGCAATGACACAGTATTGTATGTTTTGAAGTGCTAGAGGAAAAGGAGATGCTGGACTGCAGTTTGTATTGGGAGCCACACATCTCGGTAATGTCTAGTTCTGACAATGTATAAAGAAAGTACAATGTTGCTGCACTGCATTTGTCTTTTTAGGCTATAGAAAAAGTTAAAATTACTGTGCTTTTCCCTATGTTTTGGATAGCTGAACCTGGCCAAATATGTCAAATTGAGCATTGGTGTCTTGTAACTTTCTTTTATTTTCCTTCAAACTACTGTTCATTCTAGGCAGTGGCGGCTGAGAAGCTAATCAGCATTTTTAATATTCTTGAAATTTTGTTTGGCCTCATAATTTGAAAAAAAAATGTTCACATGCATAGACAGTGGTAATCCTTAGTTGTAAAGTGGGGGTCCAAAAGGAATAGCACAGGCTTTGGGTGTTCCATGAGAAGATAGCCGGAATTATTCCTGTAGCGTGTAAGACATGAATGATGTTGTGAGCTACTATGGAAGCCAGTAGGTTGTAGTAAAACAAAGAATGAAATACAGTGTCATTCCTGCAGGAACAATAGGATGTGTCCTTGGTGTTCTGCTCATACGAGTTTTGAAGCAATAGTTAGACTAATTGTAACATAATGCTTTGTCACCACCATTGCCAACCCCCACATGCCATCTGCCCTGAAACTGAGTGAGTTGAAGCCTCTGATATTCTTTCACTGTCTAACTTGGGACATTTTTAATAGAAGAAACAATGGTGCTGGTAATTGGCCCAGACTTGAGATTTACCTAAATAAATTTGAACAAATTAAGTCTTGTATTTTCTGTCTCCCCAGCCCAAATATGTAGATTTTGACAAATGGCTTTTTCCTTGTTTAAAGAGGTTTCTGGAAGTACCCTGAAAGGATTACACAATATATGTGTTCTGTTGTCTTGGCTGTTGAATTAGATACTGGATTTTTTTTTTAAATTGTAACTTCATTGTACAAAAAAAGAACAGGCCATGGAATTTTCAGACCTAAGGACAAGTTTACAAAGCCAATAGGAGTATTTTGTATAAGCATGTTTTATGTTATTGTATTGAACTGTGACAGTGTAAAGCCAAGTTCTTATATGTTCATGTGTCAAAAGTTCAAAATAACTGGTTCACATTGCAATAAACTAACCATGAAAGATTTCTGGTGTGGTCCATGTTCTTGTGAGTACTGGTAGTTATGAACATAGCTGTTGCAGGATTATTTGAGGGTTGTTAAATCACATACCTTCCCGACAAGCTGAGTTTGACATCACAATAAGCTGCAGTTAGGTGATGATTCTGCAACTCATGTTGGCATGTGCTACAGCTCATAGCAAGCCTTGGTGCCTTGTTTAGACTACTGTGGCTTTTTTGATTGTATGAACCTTCCCTTTGTCTTTAATACAGTCATTTCAGGCTTCCAAGGTACATATTAATATTCTAAACAATGATCAATTGTGGCCTTATTCTAGCTATTGGATATCAGTTTACCACATCTTTTTCTACCTCTGTATTTAAAGCAACCAGTTCTTAGTGAAGTGAGGATAACCTAGCTTTTTTTTTCCTGGTACCCTTCTGGCAATGAGCCATGCAATTTTTATTAATAAATGTAGGAAATAAATGTAGGATTATGAAAATAATGTTGCTGTTGTTCGTACTGGGAGGAGATGGATTGTGGTATGCTTCTAATAAGGACAAAATGGTGATTATTTAATCTTCATTGCACAAACACACACTTTTGTATCAAGCTGGTCAGTTTATCTGAATTTGTCCATTTGAGTTATAATTCCCATTCTTTAACCCTAACTCTTTTCTTTGAGGCAGCAATTATTATCCATTTTACCTGGGAATAAGCTTGACTGAAGTGAATGTGACTTAATTTGGCTAACTGCACCACATCTTAAGATGCAGGGAGAGTCTGTTTTAATTGTGGCTGCAGCACATAAGCTAAGAAATGCATATTTCTGAGTTAAAAACAACCTGGGTTATTCAAGTATATAGAAGTGCTTTGGGTAATGTAGAGTTGATGAGGATGATGTAATATTTTTCTCTCTAGTGTCTGGAGATAATAGTTTCATGGGGTTGGAAATACTGTGCTTAGGTGCTGTTATAATTAGGCAGATTTTGCTTTGGAGGAGGCCATCTTATACATCTCTATCTCTTTATGTGGAGTGAGTGAAGTCTACTGGAAGAACGCACAATTGTACTGATGACTCGTATATAAATGCAATAGGCAACTTACTCCCATTTGTGGGTATTTTGGATTGGTAATCCTCATGCCCATTATGGAACTTCTTGCAAAGTTTATATATATTAACTGAGTTCAGACTACATAGCAGCACACATTCACAATTTGAGTATGGTTTGATTTTGAGTAGTTCCTGAACTGTGAGTTATTCAAATGTTAGTGCTTTGTGGTCTCTGTGCATGACACATGTTAGTTACTGTATTGTTCAGCTGCACTAACAAGCCATGGTATGTTACCTATGAACAACCCATGGTTTGTTGTTGAGTTGTAGGTTATTAGGTGTTCCCCAGGGTTTGTTTTCACAGATGGTTTCAGATAATAGAACAACCCCATGATTCAGTAACAGCCTATGGTTCAGCAACAACTCATACTCAACCTTTGAGTATGGGTTATTGTCTTGTCTGAACTCATTTATCGATTCCAGTAGTTGCCCATTCCCACAGATAAGCATTTGCTAGCAAATATATGGAAGGGAGCTGTTCAAGGTGTGGAAATAGCATACGCTTATCTTGATCTCTCTGATCTCTTGTGACTGGGAAGCTTAGTAACTGAGTACATCTGCCCTCCTTTGCTTCTTTAGGTCATGCTGCTGAGTAGAAATCCAACTCCACCTCTAGCTGAAACACTGAGAAGAGTAATATAACATTCCAAAACTCACAAAAGAGCACAACAGCAGTTTATGATCAGTCTCATGTAGAAAAACTTTCAATTGTGCATTGTTATTCCTGAGCATCTGACTGATTCCTTTTCTCCCCACAGCTGATGTTTAACTATTTTTCTCTGGCAGCAATAAGAATGAAAATAAGCCTGTCTGTCTGTCTGTCTGTCTCTGGATGTCAAAGTTATATACAGGTTGTAAAATAGTCATGTGGCCCTTGACTGCTTCTACTACTTCATCACTTAGCAATTTGCAGTGGTTGCACTTCCGACCTGCTTCCTGTTACATTCCTGTGGTTACAGTGCTCATCACTAAGTGATTCTTTAACTCTGTTAACCTAAGAAGTAAAATTTCTAGATGACTTGAGCAGTTAGCTTAAAGAAGAAACCAAATATCAAAGGCCAGAAAGTTCCATACAATTGTGTTAATTCTTTTACTGCTTAAAACAAGAGGGAGAAGAGATGCCACAAAGATTCCTTGCAGTTTGTCCTGTAAGTCCTTTCCAGTGCTGCTGCCAAGAATTTTTGTTGCTCTCTCTTTAAAATCCTTATTATAAAGTGCATCCTAGGATTTATTTTCTCTTCCCCATCTCCTTCCCTCTTAGCCTCCAGAAATGGTTGCAACTGATGGGAAATGCACAGAACCAATTGTGCCATTCCACTGTGCTGCACTATAAAGACAGAAGGAAGAAACAACCCCAGTGACCTTTACACTTAGATTGTTGACGACAGCATAGCATTCTAGATTAAGTGTTCATTTCTTTAGGGCAAGTTTCTACTAAAAGGAGGATTACCATTTGATAGATCTTTTAATAGCATTGGAAATGACTGTCGTTCAGTTCCAGAACATATTTCATCCTGAGTGGCTATCATATGAACACTTCCCCAGCATGACCATGTTTGTTTCTGGGCTATTAAAAGTAGAGTCTAGTTCACAGTCCCTTGTCTGTCATCTCCACTGTCTAGGAGAATTGTTTATGGAAAGCGTAGCGCATAGCTTTGGCCTGTTACAGTTCTGGCTTGAGATGACTTATGCTCATAGAACATGAGCCTTGGATGCTCCATTCTCAAGTACTATGTGAAGGATACTGCCATTTACCAAAACTTGGTTTAAAGAATTTTTATTTCCATTGTGCTCACTTATTTATATATGCATATGTATAGACAAGGGATGTAGGTGGCAGAGTGGTTTAAACTGCTGTGCTGCTGGGCAGGTTGATCAAAAGGTCGCTGGTTCGAATTTGCACAATGGGGTGAGTTCCCGTTGCTCCATCCCAGCTCCTGCCAACCTTGCTGTTCGAAAGCATGCAAAGGCAAGTAGATAAAAAGGTACCACTTCGGTGGGAAGGTATCAGCGTTCTGTGCACTTCAGTGTTTTGTCATGCCGGCCACATGACCGGGGAGACTGTCTGCAGACAAAGGCTGGCTCCCTCGGCTAGGAAATGGAGATGAGCAATGCCCCTTAGAGTCAGACATGACTGGACTTTAATGTCAAGGGGAAACCTTTACCATTTTTATGAATAGACAGCAGGACCTCTGTATTCAAAGAGAGAGGTTCCAGGCCCCTGAGTGGATGCCTGAAACTGGGTAATAGTGGACACTATATTGTATGTGTGTGTTTCTTTTTTCAAAATTTCTTGGATAAAAGGTTGGTTCTTACCATGCATCCTAGCCACCTCAGCATATGATTTTTGTTCTTTCCATATTAAATTGAGAATTCTCACTTAAAATAAGGACTTACAGCACTTTATAACTTCTTTTTTAGACCAAGGTCAAACATGGTTAAGTTAAAATGCAGTAACTGAACTAGTGGATATAGGGGTCCTGCTGTATATCAATCACAGGAGAGATCCATGACTGAATCTCCTCTCAGTTTTTATTTTAAATAATGTGGTTGCAATAGGTTGTAGGGAGAAGGGCTATAACAGTAAAATACCCCCTCCCCCATCTCCCTGCCTCTACTACATTTAATTAAAACAAGCTACATGGGAGATCCAAAGATTCCCTGGAGAACATAGTTTGGGGTAATGTTTCCAAAGAAGTGTGTGTGTCAAGTGGGGGGGGGAGGGCGAATGTTAAAAGATATCTAATGCTAAGTTGTCCTTTAAGAAGCAAGCCAGTTAAAAGTCACTGTATATTATAGCTAATAGATTCTACAGTCCTATTGTCATCTAGGCCTATACAAATTTGAAGGTATCTGCCCTCCCAAAATTGACAGTGGGCTGATACTAGAACAGGAACATTTCTACGTAAAAAGAGAAGGAACTGGGCAGCTAACTGAAACTTTGAATGTGGGAATTGCAAAGGTGTGAGTCAGGAAAAGTAAGGACTCTTTATTTGCAGAACTCCAGGAAGCTATTTATGCATTAAAAAATGGACAGATGGATAAACTCACTTTATATCTACAAACCCTCAAACCTTTGATTAGCTACATCAAGGAAGCCAATAAGTGCACTTAATTTTACATGCATTCTTGTTTCAGGAAGGGCATGGCAACTTGGGAAGAATAGGTAGTGCCAGCACTTGGTTACTTGATTATCAGTGCAATAGACCTCAGAGAGCTGACTTCTAATTAGGCCTTTCTCAAGCCCTGAAAGAACTGCTACCAGCTATTTCCTCTGATCAGCTGGAGTTTAAAAAAGGAGGTTCAGAATATAAACATGCTCTTTCTCCTGTCAACTTTTTTCAGTGCTTCCAGATTAAATAGATTGTGGGCTGGTCCATGTACTGTTAGTGGGTGAAGAAAACTTGGCTAGTTCTGGCCCTCTCAGCTGTGGTCAGCTCAGCCCATTCTGTTAACATTAATCTTGCCATGAGGATTATCAGAGAGAGGGGAGCAATAGAACAGAGGAAGTCATATTCCCCAGTCCGTGGCATAGCTGTAGGCTTCTGAAATTCTTGTGCACATATCTGCTGCCACAGAATCCTTTTTTGATACATGCAGTTTTTAAACAACTTCCTGCCACCTGAGCAGAGCAGTTCTAAGCCTGATGGTTTTCTTCTATAAAACTTTGGTTTATTGCAGGAGTGGTTTTATCTGTACAACATTGCCTTTTAGTTCTGTGTATGCAAGAATTAGCTTGTCCTTAAAGTACCTTCTCATCTAAAGCCTATTTTATGGCACAAAGCTACCTAGAACTGCAGTTGATGGCCAGGTTAAAGTGTTCTAGCTTTAAATGAGGATAGGAATGTACATAAATTTCCATTTCGTACTTTGCCTTTTCACAACATCAAAGAGTCCTCTTACCACATTT